ATCCCGACTCTGCAGGAAGTTAAGTCCTGGCTCGGGATGTGCTTCGCTATGAAGGACCTCGGAGAGGCTTCCTATATTTTGGGAATAAGGATAGTAAGAGAAAGAAGTAAGAGACTAATAGGACTTAGTCAGAACACTTACTTAGAGAAGGTACTAAAACGTTTTAGTATGGAAAACTCGAAGAAGGGAGAATTACCGGTACAAAGCAATGCCAAGTTGAGTAAGACTCAAAGCCCGAGTACCGAAGCCGAGATAGCTGAAATGAGCAAAGTTCCATACGCTTCCGCAGTAGGCTCAATCATGTACGCTATGACTTGTACTCGCCCTGATGTAGCCTTTGCTTTGAGCATGGTTAGTAGATATCAAGGGAATCCAGGCAGAGCCCATTGGGTTGCGGTGAAGAATATCCTTAAGTACCTTCGGAGGACGAAGGAATGGTTCTTAGTCCTTGGAGGGAGTGATGACTTGAAGGTACGAGGGTATAGTGACGCTAGCTTTCAGACCGATAGGGACAACTACCGTTCGCAGTCGGGCTGGGTCTTTACCCTGAATGGAGGAGCAGTAATTTGGAAAAGTTCCAAGCAGGAAATAGTAGCTGATTCAACGTGCGAATCAGAGTACATCGCAGCGAGCGAAGCGTCGAAGGAGGCAATATGGCTAAAGAACTTCATTGGAGATCTTGGAGTTGTAACTGCCATAAAGGAGCCCATGGAGATTTTCTATGATAATGAAGGTGTGGTTGCCTTGACCAAGGAACCGAGAGATCATGGTAGATCACGACATATCGACAGAAAATATCACTTTATTAGACCTCGTGTAGAAGAAGGACAACTCGTAGTGAAGAGGATATCATCAGAAGATAACCCAGCAGATCCGCTTACGAAGGGACTGAGTAGGGTTAAGCATTTGCAGCATGCTAGGAGTATTGGGCTGAAGGATGATATCAGCATAGATTAAATAGTATTAGAAACGTGTAATAGATAAATGTAATTAAAATTTGATGATTAAATAAAGGAGTTTTATTTATAAGTAATGTTACTGTCTTATGTTAATTGTTTAACTATTGTTTCACTTTGCATGTTTTGACTTCCAGAATAATTGAGTTTATTAAGAATAATCGAATTGTTCAAATAGTCCACAATCGTTCATATGTCGGAAGTAGATATGAATGAAGATTGTCATGAATAGGTGTGTAGAGTGTCTATATGGTGTTAGACATAGCAAAAGATTGCTGCAACGTTCATGAGTGCTTATGAACTAGGTTTGAGCATTGGAACAAACCCGCGCCTGCTGGAATCACCTTATGGAATGTGATAGTAAATGGGTGATCGCAAGACGATAATATCATATAGTCTTAAAACCTAGATATATGGTTTGTTATTGGTTAATTGATTGTACATTGATAATGCGAAAATGCATTGGTAACTCGATGTTATAAAACACATTGTTGTGTGTAGTTGGTTAGTGAATAAGTAAATGCATATAAGTCGAAGTTTATCTGTAACTTTTATCCCAAGAAGGAAAAAGCGATATCTCGGCCGCTCGATGATTTGATTTGACTTATGTGTCGGGCCTGGTCAGAACTGAATTGATGAGTTCGAGTAAGTTCTATGTCAAATAAATCGGAAATTGAGAAACCAAATGCTGGACTGACTATTCCATAGTATTATCAGCATGATATCTAACAGAGGACTGTACGATCCCTTATCTAAAGGACAAGATTGATTAGATCAGAGTTTGGTAGCGTCTTTGAGAGCTACGATTGCAAATCGGAATGTACATGCGCATATAGTTACTAGACTTATCTAAGTGGGAGACTGTTGGAATAGTGTCTAAGGCTGCAACTATATTAGGCAAGTATTTGACCCGATTGTGCATGGTCCTTTTGGGTTGCCTTCACCATAGCAACTTGGTAGGATGATTTATTGTGAGAGAATAGATATTATTAATATATTATGAGAATAATATAAGGAATAATAATATAGTTATTTGATTAATATAAGTCATAGATTAATTAGTATTAATTTGGTGACTTAAGGAGATTAATTAAATAAGAGGGTATAAACTGTCAATTGCTTGATAGTTAAACTCTAGATAGTAAATCCTTATTGGATAAAGGGTTGGACTAATTCTAGGCTAGGATAAGCCCTAAATTCATCTAAGGCTATCTTTGGTAAGGATTTGGATGACTCTAAGAGATGATTATCCAACTAGGGTTTAAGCTGTAACCCTTAAGGAGTCTACAAGTATAAATAGACCCTATGGCTAAAGGAATTCGACACATCTTCAAAAGTAAGGATACTCTGGTCGAATTCCATCCCCTCTCCTCTCTCTCAAATCATCCTCTTCGCTAGTTGGTGTTTGTAAGCCATTAGAGGAGTGACAATTGTGACTCTAGAGCTCCAAGACAACAAGATCAAACAAGAGAATCAAAGGTATGTTTCTAGATCTGATTTTGTGTTGTTCTTACACCTAATAAGTCATTAGAAGCCTTGGATTCAAAGCATGTTTAATAGAGAAACCTAGATCCAAGTATTAGGGTTTGTATGCGCACTTAGGAATGATCTTATGTACAAAACCCATCACCACAATCCCAAACTGACCTTTTTATCTCCTCATAAGTAAAAGGAGACTGCAAGAAATCAACCTTCAATAGGGTTAATGTACTAAAAAGAGTAGGATCTGTCGCAGGTATCCACGAACTACACTCCTGAAAAATAGATTGGAAATATTCATGAAACCCCTCTTTAACCTGGACCGGGTAATCCACCGACACTCCTTTAATCATGAGACCATGGATAGCAATTTGTCTCCTTTTACGGTTAGGAGCCCCATGGAAAAATATGGAGTTCTCATCCTCTTCAATTCCCCACTGAATTTTATCCTTTTGAACAAGATCAATTTTAAGTAAGTGATCAAGATCTGACATCTCCTTTAATAAGGATACTCTCCGCTCTCTCAAAATAGCATACCCTTCATCCTCCATGAGACTACTATCAATAGTCTCAAGTAAATCTTGCATATTCTTCCTTTTAATATCCACCATGTCCCGATGATTAGAATTCCACACCTTTAGTTTAGATTTAAGAAACTGAAGTTTTTTCTTAAAAATTACCCAAGGGTTAATCAACTCTATCCCCAACATCGAGGTAGACCCATCCTCCCGTACAACATTATAAAACCGTCCATATCAAACCATGAATGGAATAAACGAAAAGGTGTCGGGCCATAATCAACCCGGTGCTCTAGTAGAAGAATAGGACAGTGATCATGAATATTCTTTTCCAAATCAATAGTTGAAAGATGAGGAAAAGAAACCAAAAATCCTTTTGTGACCAAAAATGTATCAAGTTTGCTGCATTTGGAGCCCCATTTATCACTTCAAGTGAATCAGGGTCCACCCAAAGGAATATCAACAAGATCCAAAGGAATATCCACAAGATCATGAAAGTCAATAAAATCATTGAAAACTCTCGCAGAAGACATATTGAAATTCGTCCCCAATCTCTCAAAATCATCTCTAACTTCATTAAAATCACCCATAACAATACGTTCACCTGAAAAGCTGGAAATAATATCATAAATTTCATCCCAAAGAAGTCTTTTATTGTTTAAGCCTTTAGGGGCATACACAACAATAAAAAGCACTTGAAGACCCGAACGAACCCAAACCGCCTAAATAACAACGAACCCATCATGAATAAAAACTCGTTTGTGGGAAATAGAGTCTAAATCCCAAATAACAATAATACCACCAGAAGCTCCATGAGAAGGAGAGAAAGCGTGCATAAAAGAAGAATTACCCCAGAGTGATCTAACCATTACTATGTCAACAAACTCCAACTTAGTTTCTTGTATTGCCAAAAAATTAACTTTATGTCGAGTACACAATTTTCTAATCCAAATACTCTTATCTAAGGAGTCTGCCACTTGAATATTTATCGAAAGACAATTGATTTTGGAAATTGCCTCTCGATGTGCCCTTTTAATATTTCTTTAACACTATCCATGCAACCGTCTATATTGTACCCCAACGATTCTCCCATTTCAATGGTTTTATGTAATTCATTTAAAAATGAATTTTTTTATTAACACCATCCGATAGATTAAAAGAAAAACACGGATTTAAAAAACCCAGGGGATGAGAAAGATCATCTTCAGAACAGTTAATACCCGAAAGCCGTCCAAAACCTCCAGAAAAACCCACTGAATTACTGTGGACCCGATCCTTAGAAGGAATATCTTCAATGAAAACATCATTGCTACCCCTTGAATTCTGATTAATTTCATAGTTATTAGCAAGAGGAGATGGCAGAGTTGAAGGAGAATCTATCGAAACAGCATCAGGAGCTGCTGATGGAGATGCTGTCGGAACAGTGACATTAGCGACTGTTATCCGAATGGTGGCAGCGGGAGATGCTGCTGGCAAGACTACTTACTATGATATTGGTTACACCCGATCAAGGATATCAGGAAAAGATTGAGGAACTAGAGCTAAAATAGAAACAACAACTAGAGGGGAGGATGGCAAGTTGGAAATTTCAATTTTTGAAGATGAATTTCAAAAATGCCCCTGAGAAGAAAACTCGTGCGGCTTGGACGTTTTATTTAACTTCTCTTCATTATCCGGTATTTCCATTGCATCTTAAATACCAAAAGGATCTAGTGAGGTATCTTCCTTGTCAACTAATGAATAATTACTACCATCTTGTTCAAATCGGTCAAATGCATCAAAGCTATCATTATCAATATTATTAAAATCACACAAGAATGTAGGATTCCAATCGGGAGCTTCTTTGATATGAATGGGGAATATTTCACCATCAATACTAACTTTGATCACTTCATAAATTATACCAAGAAACTCGGTGAGAATACATACATGTGATTTATACACGTCATCCCCAATCTTGTCATCAAGATGAGCAATTGAACCTCATTTGGCCAAGATTTGTCTAAAAGAATTTGTACTCCCAACATGTAAGGGAAGACCTTCAACATCAAGCCACACAATGCGATCGGATGGCACGAAGTTTTTGTCGCATTTTCTTTTTTTTAAAAATCGAATTATTAACCGCATCATAGGTCAAGAAGTTTTTACATGCATCTTTGGACTTAAATTCAAACATCACCCAAAGACCACCCACATACCGAATAGTAAAATTATCAAAACATCCATTATGGCACAACATTCCCAAATTAGGAAGAGTACTAAAGTCACGAGCCTTAGCTAAACACGCCAACTTTTTGTTATCAATAAAAAACTTCCCAAAATCAAGAACAATGACCAAATCTTCTTTTTCTGAAATTGGCTTCTCACTATGACTACCTCTTACCACATTTGCATATGAAATAGATAATTTTTCATGTTTCTCGACCTTAGATGGGACCTTATGGATATTGAGATATTTCTTAGGAATATGAGGAATAGAAGCAAACATCTTGTGATACCCGAACCACACATCACAAGGGTTCTTGATTATATGATCAACATTAACATTACCCGAAAATCTAACGAAACCAAAATGTTTCCTCATACGTGACATCTTTTTGGAGATAAAAACATCACAAACTTTTTCAAACCAAGATCATGTACGCCATAAATTGGAATGAATGATATATTCTGGAAAATTCATAATATAAAAGGATTGTGAATTAGACCTGGGAGTTGCATGAAATCTTTCATTTGAATTCTTTCCTACATAATTCCTATCTTTCTTGCAACCCTCTCCGCACAAGGAATTGGGATGATTAGAAGCCATTGGGACGTTCAATCTTGATTAGAAAAACTCCACAGCACGTGTATTGCACTAGGACTAGAAACTGAGTTCAACCAGAGAAGAAAGCAATCCGAAGAGAGAACGCAAACGGATGGCCCGAGCCCTGCCGGCGTTTGCACCCGCCAGAGAAGAAGGGCTGAGCCGGAATATAGTGCCGCCAATCAGTCAAGATTTTCCAAAATCGTCGGACTTATTCAAACCTTTTTTTGTTTTAAATTTTAAAATTATTATTTTCATATATTTCATAAAAGTTTTTTGAAAACAAAAAATGTGTGACAAGGAACGCCTCCTCTTATCTCAAAAAAATTATTAGCCTCAAATGAACGTCTTTTATATATATATATATATATATATATATATATATATATATATATATATATATATATATATATATATATATATATATATATATATATATATATAAGTAAAATATGAATAGAATATATCTATTTAAAAAGGAAATCAAACATGAATTTAATAGATATATTCTTATTGGAAAATTTTGATAGGGTAGTTCTACGATCTGTTTTTGCTCTTTGGATCTAAATATTGGTTGATTAAGAAAGTGCTTGAGGTGAAGATGGAGGTTATAGAAATGAGAATATCGCAATGGCGTGGTAGAATTCGATAAGATATCAAAAACGACTTTTAGGAAATTTATGGGCGTGACGTTGAAATTGAGAAATGGAAGAAATAAAGCATGTGGTGATTCAGTAATGTCTATAGGAGATAACCAATGAATTCGATACGATATGTTGAGTCGATAACTATTGAGGATACAAGGATGAGATGACGTTTGAGAAGGAAGAAGGAAATATGAAGATAGTGAGGTTAGAAGTGAAGGGTTAGTTCTTACAAAGGACACGAACTTATATACGAGGGAGTAGGACGTATGATTAACATAGTGGAGTAGCATTAGGAGTTTTATAGAGAATAACTTCTCTTTTGTTGCCTTCTTACAAGTGGAGAGGTTGTATACTATCACGGGGGGTCATTTGACCCACCTTTTTTTTGTTAACAAGTTATATAGATCAAAAAATGTGATCTACCTTATATAAATTAAATAAACCACCTTGGCAAAAAATACATATATAAATTCGAATTTTTAAGGCTCATATCCTATATTTTAATAGTACAATATTCTTTTAGGGTATAATCCATAGCCCAACACAAATTAAATTAAAAAAAAACATGAATCAAGAATTGACATTTCACAATTCACAACACACGAAGTTGGGAACTCTCGTAATCGACGATCGTTGCATGTAAGAAAATATGAGTTTACGAGTATATTGGAAATTCTATTTCCAAATTCTATAGGCATGTAAAGACCATAATAATGAATTGGTGTATGGTGATTCAAGAATCACATTTTCTACTTTCATTCATTGTTATTGCATTTTTTTCATTTCTTTTAAAATACCATTTCTTAATTTATTTGTTCAAAAAAAATCTAACTTTTAAGTTTGTTAATTGTCAATTGACAAAAATTTGTCAATATTGAATGTTAACAGTGATTTTTTTTATTTTTTTATTTTATTTTTTTATTTTTTACTTTTTAATTGTTTTGTGATCGTACAATAGGGTTTTTTTTTTCTTTGTTTCAAACGTTTAATGTGAATTGATTATTTGAATGTTATTTATTTGTTTGATAATTTGATTGTTGTTTGTTTTAGAAATTAAAAAAAAAATGTTGTTATCTAAGCTTTTTAGAAAGAATGATAAAAAAAACAGTTGATGAAGATAATAAACAACATAAGCATATGATAGTTGATATAAGTTAACTACATGTTGATCCAGCAAAATGACCATGTATGAAATGTTATCATATGAATCAAAGAGGTGACTAAGGAGGTGATGTATTTAAGATTCTTCTACTTTCAGATTAACAAATTGCACGACTATCATGTTGATGTATTTAAGGAGCTGATTAATATGCAACTTCAAAAACGTAACCATCATTTTGATGAAGTCAACATGAAATTACATCTTTGCATAGCTTGTTTATGCCTGCATCAGTCTTTCGAATCCTTTGATTTGGATTAACAATTGGAAATGGCTCCCCTTTATCAAGAGTTTCTAATAGAATATGATCTTCAAGTTCTTGAATTTGAACTTAAAAAATATATTAACGATGTGCGATAAGATGAAATTTTTTTCTGATCATAGTGGAAATTTTTTTGAAAATAGTGGAAAATTTTGATCATAGTGGAAAATTTTTTGAAAATTTTATTTTTTTCTACTACTATGCAATTCCAGACTTCCCCGTGCAAGCCCTACTATGAAATCATATGCCCGTCCCTAATGCAACAAAATGGGTGATTGGTTTTTAAGTGATAGTTTGGTGTCATATATTGAAAAAAAATGTTTTAGAAAGTATTATTAATGATACAACTGAGAAATTGTATCAATGTATAAGACAACATCGTGTATAATTGTAAAAACTTAATTTTTTTTCTTTTGCTTATACGACTCGACCAGATCTCAAACCACAATAGGGTTTTTTTTAATATATATTTATCTTTTTTAATCGGCTTCATTTAAAATTATGAACCATGTAGTCGGCGTTCTAGACTCCCCACTACTTCTTACCGCTCATTTTCAGTATTTTACTCTTCTACTTTTCTAACGGGCAACTGATCTTGCAATTTTTTCGCCACATTCTTTGCATGAAGTATATGTTCTCAATGTTTGTGTATATTAACAACAAGGTGTGAGCCCCATGTATTACATGAGTGTATTTAAAACAATTAAATATGTATAAATATTTGAGAAATTTAAACTTATAAGAAAAATGAGAAAATATTGAATTACTAAAATTAAAGTGTTTTTTTTTCTTTTAAATTTAAACAAATCATTTAGATAAAATAATCAAAGCAAATTAATGAGATTTTATTTTAAAATTTTGAAATTGTAAGGAAAGTCCATTAATGAAATTGATATGAATTTATTATTAAATTTAAATACAATATGGAATTTAATAAAATAGGAAAACCACAAAATTACATATGGAATAAAAATTAATTCAAAATAACCACAAAATGACAAGTGGCAAAATGAATGAGAGTGTGACAAATGGAAAAAAAAACCTTCATTTATTAAAGAAGATATATAAATTGCAAGCCGTACACCTTTTATGAGAAACTTTATTGCCTCTAAAATAATTTTAGGCACACAGTCCTACCTATAATCTATTATAGACTAAAATTTCATATTGACCACATTATTTTGTATAGATGTGCAATGAAATATAAACAAGAAAGTTATTCTTTATTATTCAATTTTGACTTTAAATATTTTTGTGTTTGATATATAAAACTTGATGCACAATATATGAACGGATTGTGTTTAAAATGTCTTTTTCATTATTGTGAGTTTAATCAAGTAATTTAAATCACAAATAAAAATATTTAAGGTCAAAATTGAAGAATAAAGACTTTAAAAGTCAAAAGTGGACAACAAATATGAGACAGATGTAGTATGTTGGAGGTGATCGTCAAAAGTAGCCCCTACCATTAATACAACTAGGGATGAGCAAAAACACCGAACCGGCCCAACTGGACTGGACCCGAGAACCGGCTTCGGCCAATATCAAGAACCAATCGGCTCGGCGGTTCTACCGGTTCCCGGTTCCTACCGGTTCTTGTCATGTCTTCAAATGTTGGAACCGGTCCTTGAAAAATAGCATCATAGGTTCTGGTTCCCGGTTCCAAAAATCCACAAAAATAACGTACTGGTCTCGGCCCGACCTGACCGGTTCCATCGGGTTCCGGTTTCGGTGCCGGTTCCGGATGGTTCCCTGGTCCATATGCTCATCCCTAAATACAACCATAAATACAGGTGGTTACTTCTTAGTTTCGTTTTACCTTATTTTTATGGGAATTTGGCGGTATTAGTGTTATACATAAAAAGAAGTCACTTTTTACGACACGTGTTAATTTATTCATTGAACCTTATAGACTTCCAGCTATTCCATTTCAAGATACTTGTATATACACAACTACACATCTATATATACATACACATAACTTCCTACATCTTAGATCTATATTTCTCCATGAGGTGGATATATAATCGTCAATCTTGGACACATTGATGTGCTTTCCAAGCAAAGCACGGAAACTTTATTCATTCATGTTGTATATATAATCATCAAACCTGAACACATCTTTATGCTTTGGGGAAATGACTTACGGCCCCAATTAAGTTTTCAAACCGTTCAAGAAATCTCAATAATGTTTTATCTATTCAAAAAAACCCAACAAACTTAATATTTATTTAGAAAAACCCAACGCAGTTTTCAACCGTTTAAAAAATCTCAATCATTTTTTGTCTGTTCAAAATGTTAAATTCATTGGTTTTTTTAACAGACAAAACATAATTGAGGTTTTTTGAACGGTTTTAAAATTTCGTTGGTCTTACAAGTCATTTCCCCAATTTGGTGATTTCCATAGAATTGAATAAAAAATACAACATAGTTGACCTTTTTTAGACAAATGTTAAGTTTGTTGGGTTTTTCCAATGTTGTAAAAATCCTGATTAGGTCCCGATTAATCTCTGATTAATCCCTAGGCGCTACTCGACCGATTAGAGAGCACCTAGCGATTAATTCATGCATACAAAATGACTGAAACAGTAAAACCCGATTAAATTTTAGCACTTTGAAGAAGTTATATCTAAATAGAAACTATTTGAGATATGATTAGTGTTGTATTTATCATATTAACCTATTTTGTTATGATATTAGTGGTATTTATGAAATTTTATATGATATTAGTCCTATCTAATTTTTTAAAATTTAACAAATTAGGAATTAATGGTCCCCGATTAATCCCCCGATTAATCTCCGCTTAGCGATTAATCCCTTAACCCCAGTCCACCGACTAGCTAACGTCGAGCGATTTTTACAACCTTGGGTTTTTCTGAACAGACAAAACATAATTGGGGTTTTTTAAACGGTTTGAAAACTTCATTAGTCTCGTAAGTCATTTTCCCTTATGCTTTCTAGGAATAGTAGGGATACTATGTTCATTTATGTTATGGATATAATCGTCACTCATAGCCACATCGGTGTGCTTTTAAGGCATAGTAGGGATACTATGTTCATTTTTGTTATACGTATAATCATCATTCATGGCCACATCGGTGTGCTTTCGAGGCTTAGTATGGATACTTTGTTCATTCTTGTTATATATATAATCGTCAGTCCTAGACACATCCTTGTGCTTTCCAAGCAGAATAGGGATACTTTGTTCATTCCTACTATATATATAATCGTCAGTCATGGATACATCGGTTTGCTTTCTAGGTAGAGTAGGGATACTTTGTTAATTCCTGTTGTATATATAATCGCCAGACTTTGACACACCGGTGTGCTTTCTAGGCAGAGTAGGCATACTCCGCTCATTTCTATTGTATATATAATCGTCAGTCATAGACACATGAGCGTACTTTCTAGGCTGAGTAGGAATAGTATGTCCATTCCTATTATATATATAATCGTCAGTCATGGACATATCGACGTGCTTTCTAGGCAGAGTAGGGATATTATGTTCATTCTTGTTGTATATATAATCGTTAGTCATGGACACATCGGTGTGCTCTCCAGGCAAAGTAGCGATACTCTGTTCATTCCCGTTGTATATATACTCGTCAGTCATGGACACATCAGTGTGCTTTCCCGGAGGAGTAGGGATATTTTGTTCATTCGCGTTATATATATAATCGCCCATCGTGGATACATTGTTGTGTTTTCCATGCTTTCCAGGCAGAACAGGGATACTTTGTTCATTCCTGAAGAAATTTTCTGGATCTACAGCCGTCTTCACCTTAACCAATCTATCAAAATTCTTTTTGATAATATTTCCCCCCGTAAACCTTGCTGGAGTTAAACCCATCGCCTTTGTTCACACCAATATCTAAATCTCTGTAATTCAAGAACGCGCTTCTTGGATTCTTCGCTACATAGTTAGTCATGAATTCATACATAACCCTGCTCTGATTCATGTTGTTTTCGGTTACTTTCGCATCACTCTCCTTCCAACTCAATGAATACTGCACCTTGAACAGGTTTCCGGCACGGTGAGGAAATGGAGTTGCGTCTGCCGGAATTTCATTCATTCTCCCGCCATACGGGTTGAAAACCATACCAATTTTACCAAGTTCACCCAACTTGTTGAATATGGACGTTAATGCTTGCGTTGGTATAGGGGTTTGTACATAATCAGACTTTCGTTTCAAAAACTTAACAACATCAGTGTGTCGATCGAGGAGGATATCTAGCTTTGTCTTGTTGTAATCGAAGTTTGACCAAAAAAGATTGGACTGAATCCAACTTACTTCAAAGCAATCTTCTTTCTTCAATCCTAGTTCCGGGAAGCTTTTACTCATTAAACCCATCAACCTAGTGGAATCACCCAAGAAAAGGGCCATAAATGTAGCCTGGGCTGTTTTCTTGTTTTTCTCCTGCGTAGGCTGTAGTAAAACTCTAATAAACAAATCTTTGTCGATTGTAGACATAACCGACTGCCATTTAAAAACGATGTCTACCGCTTTTGCTTCCGCTGTTTTGGTTACCCTAAAAACAGTATTAACTTTTGGCACCGGAACTAGTTTCACGGTGAAGGATAATACGACACCAAAACTAGAGCCACCGGCGCCGCGTATGGCCCAAAAAAGATCCTCACCCATTGCTTTCCGATCCAAAACCCGGCCTTTAACATCGACGATCTTGGCATCAATCACGTGATCAATTGTCAACCCGTATTTTCGAATCATGGTGCCATAACCACCGCCGCTAATATGTCCACCAATACCGAGTGTCGGACATGCTCCGGCCGGGAACCCATGCACCTTACTCTTTTCCCAAATCCGATAATACAACTCATCCAAATGAGCTCCGGCTTGGACAACCGCAGTTTCGGTGCCGACATTAATATCAATTGCACGGAGGTTAAACATGTCAATTATCATGAACTGAGTTTTTTCAGACGAGGTGTAGGAGACTCCTTCGTAATCATGTCCTCCGCTGCGAATCCTAATCTGGATATTGAGTTTTTTGGCGCAGATGACGGCAGCTTGCACGTGATTTTCTTTTTTTGGAGTGATAATGATGGCAGGCTTGGGTATGGAGGTGGTATTGTAACGGAAGTTTTTGATGTGTTCTAATAGAACTTTGGTATAGGCGGAGGAGTTAGTGGCGGAGCTGTAAACGACGGAAGAGAATGTGGTGTCAGGTTGAGGGGATGATGTTGGAAGGCATTCGAGAAAGGATTTGTAGAGGGAATTAGGATCGGAGGGCCCTTTTGGTAGTGAAAAGCAAGGAGGACAACAAATGAAGAACAGTAGAGAAAAAAGGATAATCGATGACATGATTACATCTTGTTTTAGAAGAAGGTGATGACTAATATTTATAGTAGTGAAAAATTGCTAAAGAACTCTCTCTTTTTCATATCAACATTTCGGTAAAAAAATTGTTTATATTATTTTCTATGAAAATAATATCTTTGTACGATTTTTTTTTTTGTTTGTTTTATAAGTTATATAGTACAAGTTTTGTAGCATGATTTAAAAATTATATTCTAATAATGTTAATAAATATTTTTCAAATCCTTGATATTTGATATATTGACACACAATTGGAATTTTGTTGACATCCTTTCATGTTTGTGTGATTTACAATGTTTTGAAAGGTATTGTATACTTCAATTATATGTCTATAAATAATCCCTCATGTCTTTCATTATTTCTTGAGTTTTGGTTTTCATAATTTTAACACAAATTTCAGTATTCATTTTAACATTTGGTTTTTTAATTACAAAACATGAAATGTCATACATACCAATATATAATTTGTAATAGCTATTTTTTTAATATGTATTTCCATCCATACATAAGACAACTTTGTTTTGGATTGTTTAGGTCCATAGAAAGTAATTTCTGGCCATCTGTTGGTGTTTGGCGGTAGAAAGCATATCATAATTTGCTTGTGATTGGTAAACTTGATTAAATATTGTATGAACCTCGTTATACTGATCTGCCGGTATTTGGCAGTGTTTGGCAAGTATTGACACTGGTTCTATTGGTAAACCTTATTTTTATTTTATTTTGTGGTCAACACATTTTGTACATTTGCAGTGCTCAAGTGTTATTGTTAGTTTTATGTTCAACGGGATTATATAACTACTAGAAAACTGGAGCAGTCGAAAATGTGTAGAAATCCGGTAATTTTGATAATATCCGACAAAACGATTTCATCTGTATGTCCTTGGAAACTTCTTCTGACAAATTTCCTACATAAGCTATTTTCTTAAACTTTTGACCAAAAATATTTACGACTATTTTATGTCTATCGACTCGCTTCTCACAATAAATTTTTAAAGGCCTTGAGATGGAATTTAGGACCTTTAGCCATTTTATAAGATTTTTGAACAACACTCTACGACCCGTTGCGTTGTACCCCGCATCATATGCAACTATCATTATTGAGTTAGTCGTTAGTCTTTGGCTAAACCTCTTCTAAGTAATCGGCTAACTTGATAGCTTAAAAATCTATCCCATGATCGAATTAATAAAGTCTTTGCACTTGGAAAATTTGTAATCGAAATAATCGAATACCTCTAAAACTTGGCATGCGTCACAATCTCTTAGTTACCACCGCCAAAAGTACAACCTAAAAAAAACATGAAATTCGTAACTGTAAACATAAAGCTTGGTGTGTTTCTTAAAATACCATACATCAACATTATACATACAATACACACAAACAAGGCTCATAGTCGACACTTCGAAGGGCCTATAGGCACAAGGCCAACATCCCAAATACCTAAAGAACTTCCAACCATTCTCCTAGTGGACATAATGACTTACAACCAACTCCCCTTAGGTTCCAATATTCTCTTAGTAGACTTGAAGGATTTCAACCAACTTCCCTAGGTTTCAACATTCTCCGAGTGGGCATGAATGCTTACTGCCAACTTCCCTTAGGTTCCAACATTCTCTTAATGGAGATGAAGGCTTACTGCGAACTTCCACTAACTTCCAACATTCTCCCAACAAGTAGACTAACTAGCTTAAACACATAATTATACCCTAACAATGCATATAGAACCTATCACACTTGACACACAGTGTCATACATAATTTATTGAGAAAACTCACATGAGTCTCATAGCAGAATCTTAATAGCAACATCTGCATACGAAACAAGTAACACAACCCACCTAATTCCAATCTGAAATACTCAAATTCATCAAAGTTTGACCAAAAGTTAAACTGGTAAAAAAGTCAACGATCAAGTCTTCAAAGTCAATGGTCAACATACTCAAAGTTAATTATTGGTTAATGGAAAAGTTAACCAAGTTAATAGGTAAGTGCACTACAGCTTGGCAAGGTGTGATGCGTCCTTGCTGAATCTCAAATCCTTCTATTAAGATATTAAACCATAAACTCAGAAGTCCCAATTCTCATATATGGAACTATTTAATGTCTTAAGGGATAAAGTTTACAACTTTATCCATTCCAATGACTAAATCAAGCAAGATCTCTAACCCTAAGTCTATAAATCTTAAAGTGCCAAAACCAAGTGCATGGCTCAAGGAAAGCACATGCATGCCCTTTTTATCCCACATGAAAGGTACTGAAGTGAATAAACATCATTATTAATTTCTGGAGTTCCTCGAACTCCTAGAAATAACACGAAAGGGACCCAAACTAACCAAAAGTAACCGAATTCAACAATACTTAGAGATATATGCATAATCATGAAAAACTTGTATCTTTAACACTTACAAAGGTCTAAAGGTGTAGAGAAGATTGAAATTTTCAAGCTCTTGCTTCCTTGTAAAATCTATATTGAATCCCTCACCAAAGAACATAAAACAAGCACATAAAATAAATCAAATATAAAGGATGATCTAAAAACAATTAAAGGAGGTTAGGGTTTCACTTAGGGTTTCCATTGAATGATGGAAGTTTTAAATTGATGAAACCTTAGAATTTAGTGCCTTTAAAGAGGGACCAAATCCCGAGGCTTCAACGGCTTAGCCCAACATGCATGGCATGTCGCTCTAACGTGCATCCATTTCTTATAATTTCTTCAAGATTCTTACTCCCCTCCTCACATCCATCATTCCTTGAACATTAAAACTATTGGATTAGGTTTCTAAGCTAATAACTAAATTCGTATATCCTTGAATTATTAGCAAAATCCTTATAGGTTGCCCTGGGACCTAGTAATTAAATAGGATGATTTTTAGAGAAAAAAGAGAGAGAGAGAGAGAGAGAGAGATAGAGAGAGAGAGAGAGAGAGAGAGAGAGAAAGAAAGAAAGAAAGATAGAGAGAGAGAGAGAGATTAATTTATTGATTTATTATATGATTAATAAATAACAATAAATTAATTTATTAATATGTTATGAAAATAATATAGTAATTAGAAAGAATATTATTTAATTAGTAATTAATCAGAAAGTAATCGGAATTAATTTTAGGATTAATTAGATTATCTAAAAATACAATAGTTGAAGTGTGATTGTTCAATGCCTAAACAAGTTAGGGTTCCAGCACCTTCCTTGGAAGGGTGGATAAAAATTAGGGTTATTCCAAGGTTTTTGGAATATTCCCTACAGATAAATAGGAACATGGATAATTACCAATTTGAATTAATATTATTTTATTCAAATTAGGGGTATCTTGAGTTTCTTAAATCCACTATATAAGGACCCCTTAGCCGTTAATTTTCAGCAACCTCTTTACTAAAAATGCATAGCCAAAATTTACATCTCCCCTCTCCTCTCTCTTTAAGCCTCCTTGTTGCTAGGGTTGGGTGTGAACCATCAAAGACACGAAATTTCTAGTGGTAGCTTCCAAGTGACTATAAAAAGGATTTTGATTGATTTTCTACTAGTATAATCAAAGGGTATGTAACCATAAACCTTTTTATTATTTTCAAAAATCCAAGGGTCCTTGATATTCAATTGGTTATTTCATTCAATGGTTAATACATAGATCCTTTAGGTTGCATGTGAACTTAGGGTTTAATTTTTTCCTCTAAAATATGTTTTTGTAACCTATAAATCCCATCAGTGGTATGAGAGCCATTTTTTTCAATTGAATATGCATAATAATTGAATAAATCAAGATTAGGGTTTATAGAAATTAAAGCCTAAAGGATACAAATTTCAAATAGGGCTAGGGTTCATGAAACCCTAGCCTCCACCCTTATTTTTGAAATTTCTAAGGTTTTCTTATTTAATACTTATTGCTTTTAATTCTTTAAAATATAATAATTAAAATTGGATAATCGTTATCCCTTGACTTACGAAAATTTATATAGAAAGGGATTATGATTAAATTTAATTATTTGATTAATAGTTAATGGTAAATAATTATTTAATCCTTATAAGAATTAAATTAATTAATCAATCTTTATATATATATTAAAAGAGAAACTTGATGGCATGAACTTCAACAATCAGATTCATTCATTGTTTCCTTGATTAATTTCAACCTTTCGATCAAATTGCTCAAAATTGTTGACATCATGTTAAATTAAACACGGTTTCTTTTAAACAATACTTACACGGCTTCCTAACCTCTCCATAGTTTCCAAACTTGTTTGCATTCCTAACCTAAAAATCTCAGAAACCTTAACCTTAATTCAACTCCAACCCTTGCAAGAACCTTAATCATTTGTTTAGCTTAGCCGCTGCATCGTATTATCTGTATGAACAATAAAGAGTGAAAGATTATGGTTGGATTTTGGTAAATAGAAGCCCAAATGAAAGATTAAGGTTGGATATGGAAAAATCGAAAGTAAAAATCTTTTGTATATAGTCGCACCCTTATGTCCTCTCTATGAACATCCACCGTTAACACCGTCGCCATCTATAGCCCCTCACCATCTCCTTCATCTTCCGGCTCACACTCTCATCAACTTTCGCAATATGCTAAAATTGTTCAACTTTGAAGATTCCGCCTCTCACATTCACCATTTTTTTTCTTCTTCTTGATGACCCATTCAAAATTTCACATATTTTTATGTGGTTTGGTTGCAGGTTTTTGGGTTTTGAAGATGGTTGATTGTTTCAGTTGGTTTTCCCTTCTAATTTCATGTGTTCGTCATCTTACAATCTCAAGTATTCCCAATATATGGTTTTCAGCCCAAAATCGACTTATAGTGAATAATGCACTACCATTTGGTATCTAATGCTACTAAATATAGATCTATTGTCATTTCAACCAAGAAAGAACGAAAGTTCTGAAGACACTATATTTTTAGTCATCTTCTAACAACCATTTATAGAAGCCATATTGTAGGATTTTTCAGTACAGTTTGCTACTCCATAATATGTATTCCAATAACCCCAATTGC